ACATATGTATATATGGATTTAGGCATTATTATGTACCCAAGTGTGTGTATATATATATAATGTATATACATACATATATATAAATTGGTACTCTTTCAACTTAAAATAATTTGGTCAATTTTCTATTATTGTGACAAAATACCTAATCAGTTTATAAGGAGGACATATTTATTTTTACTCATGGTTTCCTCTGTCAGCATGTGATTCCTTGGCCCCAGCAATCTAAGCATGTTGGGAGGCAAAGCATGGAACAGCAGAAAACATTTCACTCAGGAAGCAAAGAGAGAGGAACTTGACAAGGGCCTGGGATCCCCTCTGAGGAAATGGTCCCCATGACCTAACTTCCTCCAACTAGTCCCTGCCTCCTACACATTCCACCCCTTCTCAATAGCAGCATATGCCAGAAACAGGACCTTAACATACCTGACCCTGAGAGACATTTAAGGCCAACCATAACAAATAAAATAACTTTTTTAGAAATAAGTTACAGCTAAGTCTTTTGTTAAAGAATTTAGTTAGCAGGCTTGAGAGTTATCTTAACTGTTAAGAGCACTAGTCTTGCAAAGGACCCCAGTTTAACTCCCAGCTCCCACATGATGACTAGCAATCATCTGTAACTCCAGTTGCACGGTATCCAACTCCATCGTCTGGCCTCCGCAGGCACAGCATGACATGAGTACACATATGAAGGCATAAAATAGACATGAATAAATCAAAAATAATTTACGATTTAATTAGACCCAATATTACCTAAGACTCATTATGACCTTCAAAATGTGCAAAACTAATGGGTATCCTAGAATAGATTACAGAGAAAGAAAATGGATTCAAAGACGAGACATGGCTGATCATTGTTACACCACAGGTGAAAAGCAATAGATAATTTGGGGGAAAAGGTACATGAATGGATAGGATCTTACAAACATGAAGACAGAGAGCTTGAACATTCGCTGCCATATGGAATAGAGAGAGGATAATGCAGATGCTGGGCTTAAAGGACCACCTGAATCGTGCGCCCAGAGATTGGAGGATGAGTAACCAAAAGCACTTCACAAGGACAAGTAAAGCTAATGCGATGGAAAGATGTAGCACAAGAGCAGTGTAGTGATGGGGCAATCTGAAATCTTGATCTCAGGGAGTCACAAACATCCAAAATACTTTCTTCCTATCCAGTCCTCCAAAGCAGATAATTTTAAAAGGATGATGCAGATGCTGGGCTTAAAGGACCACCTGAATTGTGCGCCCAGAGATTGGAGGATGAGTAACCAAAAGCACTTCACAAGAACAAGTAAAGCTAATGTGAGGGAAAGATGTAGCACAAAAGCAGTGTAGTGATGGGGCAATCTGAAATCTTGATCTCAGGGAGTCACGAACATCCAAAATACTTTCTTCCTATCCAGTCCTCCAAAGCAGATTATTTTAAAGACGTCTTACTAATTTCCAAGTGACCTGTATGCTTAAAATTATGTGATCAACTCCACTAAAACATCCAGCCCTCTCAACAGGTAGACTTGGTAGGCAGGGTAGGCATCCTTGTTGATAACAGAACACGGTTTCTAAGATTGTCAGCTCAAAATTACACTTAAGGCAAGAAGGAAACTAGAGCACTTATAAATCAATATTACTATTTTCACCTGCTTAAGAGAATTTAAAGAACCAAATTATGTACAAATTATAGTACTGGAACAGCATGATAAAAATTCACCTAGTTCTATACAGAATTTGGATGAAAAATTAAAGAATGCTTAAATAAATGGAAAGCTGTCCTATCTACTATGCTAGATGCCTTATTATTATTATTAATTATTATTAATATTATTGTGGCATTAACTGCATATCATTAATACCATAACATTCATGCCACTGTTACAACAGTGGACTGATCTTGCCAGGCCAGTCGTTACTGTAGCTCAGAAGTTTCAAAACTAGATAAGGTTGATCATGACTCTTCTCTTCTGGTAGCATGCATAGCACCTTCTAGAACTATGAAACCTAGCCAGTAGAGATGAAGCTTCAAGGTCAGTACCAACTTGATTTCTCCATGTTTGTTCTACAACTCACATATGTAGTGTCTGCAGCAACAGAGTCATACCATCAAGTTTTGGCAGGTAAGCAAGAGCAATGGCAATAGACAGTATTGTTGGAGGGTCTATGGTACAAAAAAACCTCCCTCCAACCCCCATCAACAACTCCAAAAGAGGGAGGATTTAAGGCCCCCTGCACAAGATAAAGCCCATACTTGGTACCATCAGGCCTAGAACCTATGGCTAGAAAAATCAAAAGCCATGGGGAAAACACACTATTATTTTACTAAGTGGCCATAGTGTTAAACTGACTCCTTCCTGTTATACCCATAGATTAGTACATCTCTCAGCTGTCATCACAGAAGCTTCTTTTTGCATCAAATATTAATTATCACAATGTGCAGAGAATGAGAGACTGAGGAGTACGCAGTCCTAAATGGAACACTTATATCACACCATCTCCTCACAAGGCTCAGAGATCATTATGGAAGAGGGAGCAGAAACATTGTAAGAGCCAGAGGTGATGGGTGAATAAAAGGAAGTCATGTTGTCTGGACACAACAGGGAAGTTGTACATATGAACCCATAGAGCTTGTAGCAGTGCTCTCAAGAGCTGTGCAAGCCACAGCCAGACAAAATCCCAGCATAGAGAGGGAAGGTGTCCAGAATTATTCCAGCTATCCTCAACAATGGCTCTCTCCTCTGTCTCTTTAGCACCACACACACCCAAACCTCTCATCACTTCACTGTGCCCTTCTGAAATCCTCTCCCCTGTTCCTCACTGCAAATACTTGAGATCTCTGTCAACCCTCAGGTTATCCAGATGAAGCACCTCCCACTCATTCTTTCCCACAGAGTGATATGATCAAGTCCACTTTTATTTTTATGCTGGATACTTTTATTACCTAACTTGTTTGAATTTCCATGCTCTTTCCTCAGATAGATTGCTAGTACCTAAAAACAATGTCCACATGTTGTAATGGTTTAACAATTTGCTTTCAAATTGTTTCCATGCACACAGTAGGTACTTAAAGTGCTGACCAAGTGCTTCTTATCTGACCAGATACATATCTCTAGTAATTACAGAAATGATGAATAGACCACAAAATGCAAACCAACAAAGAACATTATACCTGCTCCATTTTGATCAGGAAACAATCAATGAAGTCCCGAGGGTTATCCATATCCAAGGATTCTTGGTGTTCTTTTATTTTCTCCCAAACATAATTCTTCATATAGCAAAAATTTTTAATTACTTGGTTATGACTTCCAGGGAAATAATCTATGATAGTAGGGAAAGTATTGTAGACCTTAAATAATAAAAACCATTGGTTAAATTAAGCACGTTATAATGACATGACTACCATAACCCTCGTTAAACACTCCAGTTTTTAACCCCCATTAAATATTGGAGTGTACTCTAAAAAGGAACTCCAACTTGAAGATGAACATTTCAATATATATGATTCATATAAAGAAAGCCACTATGCTTAGAAAGATTAGACTAAACTGACCTCATGACCAGAGACTGTACAAATCTCCCATATCTAAGCAGTATTTGTCAGGTACTGAAGCATCTCCAGGTCCATTCTCTCATTTTTACCCACAACCTCAAAATACAGAAAGGTCTGAATGGCTATGGTTCATGTTCTATGGAAGGACAAGGGTGAAGGAAACCTGAAATGGAGCACAGACGCTGTCCCTGCTATTTCTACTACTATAATTAGCCTCAGGATTAAAAGCACAGTTTACAACTGGACATTATAAAACCTAACTCAACATTTTGTGGCTAAATACACATAGCAGGGGTCAAATGACTTCTGTAAAATCACACAATTATCTTCTACACAAAGGGGACAATGCCAGATCAATAGATAGAGAATGACATTGTTGAATCTGCCAGCCCAACAGGGTGCTATGTTTGATACACTACAAACTCCAGTCCTCTAGTTATCCTGACCCTGGTTACTTTCTCAACTAGAATCTCAGCATCAGCTAGCTTAGAGTCTGTGGGTTGGAAACACCACTACTCAGGAGCTCCTGGTAGTACCTGTGCTCCCCTCATCCTCCGTCCTTGATATCCTCAATTAGGAAATGTCTACCAAGTGATATGATGAAGAGAACTCTAACTTTTGATTGGCAGACAAGCCTGGCCATGCTTTTGGCAATATCAAAGTGCTGCCTGGAATCTGTTGCTTGGTGTATTTGGACTTGAATTTCGTCCTTATATTCAAAATTTGTCTTCTGTTCTACAGAATGAAAGCATCTGCTGTCTTTCAGAGATACTCATAACACCTGAAAAGGAGAGTGTTATGGAAACATTCATTGTGGTCAGGTACAAGCCATCACTCCAGAAATATTTTTTTAAAAAATCAAGGATCTAGAGAGATAAATTACTAGTTAAGAGTGCTTCCTGCTCTACCACAGAACTGAGCTGATTTCCCAGCACTCACATGGGCAGCTGACAACTACAGTAACTCCAGCTCCAAGAGACCTGATGCCTCTTCTAGCCTCCTTGGGCACATACCAACACACAGACACACACAGGCATCTGTGACAGCCAATGTCCAGCTTGGACTCTAGCTCTGGATAGAGCACAGGTTCCCAGAGATCAGGCTACTGGCCTGGGATAGTGATGGACTCCTGGGATGCTTCACCTCTGTGTCCTGGGGACACACACTGGCTGCATCCGGTTTTGGAACAAAATGAAGCTCTCTTCAATAATAGCAATCAAGACCCAGCGTGGTAATGCAGCCTTTAATCCCAGCACTCAAGAGGCAGAGACAGACCGATTACTGTGAGTTCCAGGCCAGCCTGATCTACATAGTGAGTTCCAGGCCAGCTGGAGTGACAGGGAGAGCCTGTCTCAAATGGTCAAATAAAAATAATAATAGCAACCAAAAAGGAAATTTTTGCAGTTCAATATAAATGTTGCTGATGGATCTTAAGACAGGTTCAAGTTGTCCATGCTCTTCAATAGTTATATTGTTAGGCCAACATTTCCAAAGCTATGTATATGTTCACAGTCAGTGGCTGCAGTTTCAAATTCCTAGGCCCTATTCTAATTTTTATTGGATGAAGGAGCTCTGCTAGAAGACTTCAACGCAGACTCCCCACAAGGCCAGGTGACTCAATTTCTTTTAGCTTTTTACTCTGGCCTCAACCCACCCCAAAGAAACTTTTACTTTGGCCTCACCCTACCCCCAACATCCCGGGCAAAGAGCCAGGCTTTTAAAACCAGACTTTGTATTAAGGTTTAGCAATATATCACCTACTAAAAGAATTTTTTTGATGGAGCTGGAGAGATGGATCAGTAGTTAGGAGCACTGGATGATCTTGCAGAACACCCAGTTTTGCTTTCCATCATGCATATGGCAGCTAACAACTGTTCATAACTCCAGTTCTATGGAATCTAACTCCCTCTTCTGGCCTCCATGGGCATTGCACAATTGCACAACACAGGTGCACTTATATACATGCAGGCAAAACATTCAAAAATATGAAATTAAAAATAAATAAATTTAAAATATCTTTGAATCAGAAATAATGATACTAAATCTTTTAAAAAGAAAATTTTTAAAAACTATCAGAAGCAACTTGGTTCTGGAACTATGGAAAACTGTCAAGTATGATGGTGCACTCCTTTATGTCCAGCACTCGGGAAGCAGAAGCAGTAAGATTTCTGTGAGTTCAAGACCAGCCACAGTCAAATGTCTATATAAGTCAATGACAAGTTAAAAGTTTCAAAACAGAGGGGACAGAGAAACTTTGTAGCATTGTTATGACCTTGTCTCACTTCCCTCCCTGTCTCTGTTCTAGAGTAGAACTCTGGTTCTTCTTTCCAGGAGAAAGAGATGCTTTCTCTGTTCTGACCTAACTGAGGACAACTGAAGGACGGGGCCAAGCACTTGCCTTTGCTTCATCTTTACTCATCAGGGTAGAAAAGGAATCAGGAGTGCCAAAAAAAAAAAAAAAACTTACAAAGCCACTAAGCAACCCAGGGTAAAAGAATTCTATTAAGGCATGTGATAGAAGACCAAAACTGAAGGAAGAGCTGGGGTGTGTATGTTTGGAAAATCAGGCCACTCAAAAACATCTACTTATACAGACGTATTCAAAAAGCCAGATGCAACCTCAGGACAGGCATAAGCTAAAAGACCCGAAAAGAAGAATCACTAGCTTTCACCTCTGCTCACCTCTGGCCTGAGCGTCAGAGCAAGTGAAGGCCATGGAGGCGCCTGGAGGAAAGGTTAGGTAACCCCAGCCTTCTTTTTTGTCATTCCTTCCCTCCTTGTCTTTCTTCTTCTTCATATTTCTATTTTTTACTTTTACCTTCCTTCTGTTATCCTCACACACAGCTTCCTTCTCAACATATCTCTCAACTGCTCCTATGTAATGAAATTTCTGGGGACTGGAGAGGTGGCTCAGCAATTAAGAGCACTGACTGCTCTTGCAGAGGACCCAGTTTTCAATTTCCAGCACCCACATAGCAGTTAACAACCCATCTATAACTCCAGTTCCAGGGGATCTGATCCCTTCTTCTGACCTCCATGGGCACTACATGACATGGGTGCACTTGCACGCAGGCAAGATACTCACACACATAAAATTTTTTTAATTTAAAAAAGATGGCTCTTTAAAAGAAAGAAAGAAAGAAGGAAGGAAGAGAGAAAGAAAGAAAGAGAGAGAGAAAGAAAGAAAGAAAGAAAGAAAGAAAGAAAGGAGAATGAAAGAGAGAGAAAGAAAGAAAGAAAGAAAGAAAGAAAGAAAGAAAGAAGAACACAGACTTTACAAAAACGATTTTGAAAAACTACTAAGCAAACACCATCTGCCTGTAGAACACAAAAAAAAGTGCAAAGAAAAAAAATGTAAAACCTACAGCAGACAATAAAAAAAAACACAGACTTTACAAAAACGATTTTGAAAAGCTACTAAGCAAACACCATCTGCCTGTAGAACACAAAAAATAAGTGCAAGGAAAAAAAATTTAAAACCTACAGCAGACAATAGAAAAACAACAACCCAACCTCAAAGGGGAGGCCTGATTTCCGGAACTGCCGCATTATGTACCCTAAACACCCAGTTTTGAAATATTCACCTCACAGCTCAAGCCCATGTTAACTTGTCACACGTGACTCCTTAGGATGGAAGCCTTTTGACCCCTCACCTGTATCCATGAACATTCACCTCACAGCTCAAGCCCATGTTAACTTGTCAAAGGAATGAGCACACGTGACTCCTTAGGATGGAAGCCTTTTGACCCCTCACCTGTATCCATGGGCTGCTTATGAGTCTGAGGTTTTCATTTAATTTTTTCATCAATTCAAGGAAATTCTGATCTTTATAATCAAAACGATTCTGGAAAACAATGGAGCAGATCACATTGCAGGGAGCACAGCCAAGGATGAAGGTAGGATCACAAGGTGAGCCTGCATGAGTGGAAATAGTGAACATGATCATTGATACAGGCACATAAAACTATTCGTCTTTGATAACAGATAAAGGGCATTTTAGAAACTCTAAAGTAATAAGTACTTAGAAATTCCCTCTCACCAAGAATGTCAGCATACTCAAAATCAGCACACTACTTTTTCTTAGATCCAATTTAATAATTCCACCTTAACTTGTTTAAGGCTCACTGCCTTCATTTACACAACTTGTGTCCAAGTGACAAATTTTGGAGGGTAAGGAAAAATTAAATGTGAGAGTGTCATGCTTTAACATAGCTAATGGCACTGGGCATGGTAGTCCATACCTGATCCCTGTAAGCACTCAGGGGTTGGGGGCTAGAGAGCTGAAAGTTCAAGGCCAATCTGAACCATATAGTGAGGTCAAGGCCACCATGAGCTATACAGCTAGATAGTGTCTCAAAAAATGAAAAAGCCAGGCATGATACTACAGGCCTTTAATCCCAGTACTCCCAGAAGATGAGGCAGGCCTGATCACTATGAGCTTACATACTGTGTTCCAAGCCAGGTGGGGCTACAGGGAGACCCAGTCTCAAAAAATAAAAAAATAAAATAAAATAAATAAAAAATTTAAACTTCTAACACTATAAACACAGAATCACACATCTCTGGAAAGCTTGTAGATAGTAACATTAATAATTA